GTACACACTATGCTTTTTGGTTACAGTGCGTGCAACGGTTATGGTTACAGCTCGCCAATGAGTAACTACCCGGCTTAAGAAATTCCGAATCATTCGAACCTTTTACAATTCATCTCACTGTAAACTCAAAATATTTTAAGAAAAGTTTACTAGAAAAAAAACCACGCGGACCAGGCAGCGGACCGGACTCGAACCCGCACCCTTCGCAATCCGGGCGAATGCACTGACCATTATGCTACCACGGCCCTATTCGCCGCGTCGAAATTTGCCTAGCCTTAAGCTGCAAGGCAGCGCCATCTCTTCGCATTGTAGGTTGCAACCACGCAACCCACAATGTCAAATGAATACTTTTTCAAGTATTAAACATTTGAAAGAAGAAATAGCAATTATAGTTATTGTTTTTATTTATTTTTAAGCATTTAACTGCTAGGTGTTTAAATCTAAAGAAAAGTTTACTAGAAAAATTAAACTTTTCTTACTTTTCTTTGTATTACTAATTATCCATAACTTGTAACGATGAATCATTATGGTTTTAATAAAAAATATTATTTTTCCAATTACGGATTATTTTATTCAGTTTATCTATTTATTTTGACTTTCTAGATATACTATAATGTTTACACTAGGCCATACTAGTTTATCCTAGAGTATGCGTATTTTTATCAGGATCAACTAGTTTGGCCTAGGCTAAACTGGTTTATCCTATCGGGCTTAGGACAAATTAGTTTGGACTAGGCTATACTAGTTAATCCTATCGCGCATAGGAAGAACCAGTTTAGCCTAGGCAAAACTAGTTTGTCCTGAAATCGGGTTTGGCCGGTAACATATATACAATGAAGATAGAGGGATTCCGAGCTACAAACAGCAATGTACGAAACATACTGAAAAAGTAGACTCACTTTTTTTTCCAAACGTTTTAAATAAATAAATAAAATAAAAAAATACTTTTATAGCAAATTTTCTTTAAGCTTTCTTTAAAACTGTAATACAAAATTTTACTCTTTTCCGAGTCCTTTTTATTTCCGAAGTATATCTTGTGTACTTTAAAAATTATTGCAATTTAAAAAGTGTGACACTTAGTTTTACATGCCAGTGTAAATGATATATGTTTACTTATATGGTAGAAGTATACCTATTTATGGTATAGATGTTACTCAATTGCTTATAAGCTATTTACTTTTTAAACTTTTGTGCACCCTACAAATGAATTCATCCATATCCCGTGCTCCACGGAACACGCCAACCCGGTAAATTAATATTATGCAATTACGAATTCAAATTAGATTGTACGGACATAATAACTTGTTCGTGTTTATTATAGGAATGAATGAATTAGTTTTGAACAGGATTCTTTCATAATGCGTATTGTTATTTTATCGTTATATAAGTTATATACATTTTAATATTCAATTACAATTAGTATGTATATGAACAAGGCTGCCTTTTACCAAGACGTATGAATAGTTTGAATTTGCAAATGTGGAGTTATCAATGTCTCTTAGATTATGCCAATATCATGGAAACATGTATAATAATTAAACCTACATTTCACTTTATACATTAGAGATAAAATTGTTTTAACCAACAATTTTTGAGCGCAAGTTTGTTTGTGTTGCCTGTTACTTTGTTAATTAGAAAAAATATTAAAAGTTGATAAATAATCGTGTATTGGCATTGCAATCTTAAACTATAAAATTTCATAAATGTATTATTTAGTTATTTATTTAGAATTCATCTTCTTTATAAGAATAGTGTGTGTCATAACTTCCCATCATGATTGTTTAGAAAATATTTCACTAAGTACCTATAATTCATAAGTTTTCTGACCATTGTTTGGGGTGGAGGGTTGATAACCTGGAATACAGGAATTTTTCGCCCACCACAGTCTGCTACATTGTACCATTGCTTCATGTAAGTCTTATTTAGATTGTGGTATGAGAAAATTAAAAAATATTATTATTATTAATTTATTTTATTTAAACAAAATACAGCAGTGCTGTTATTAAAGAACAAACTGACATTTCATCTCGGAATCCAAGGTGAAAAGAAATATTTATTTACGGTCACTACCACTTTTTGGTGATAATTTCTAGAAGTATTTTTGTTTATATTTGCTTCAGCTATCAAGTTTCAGCTCAAGCTATTGTGATTAAAACGAAAGCTTAGCCAACGATAGTAACATCGTTGAGCATAGCACGAAACTATCGTATTTAAAACAGTTTTATTGATGGGTGACCAATTATTTACTAACTTGAGCACTCCGTGCTTTTGAAGGCACGTAATGTTATCATACTAGGCTGCATCTACTGCCACCAATTCGCACTGGGCGCGCGTCATGTCATAACAGAGCAGTACCCTAAGCACGAACAACTGGTCTGTATCATTCCCTTCTCAGGGGTTGATGGCATCAGACGAATCCTGTAAGGCCCTTATGGCCATAGGCGGGTGTATTTAAGTAAGAGTCTGACATAACCCTACAGCCGGCTGTAGAGTATCCATGAGGATTTTACAATCGGTCCCCCGCCTAGGAGAAAACAAAAAAAAGCGCGAACAACCACCGGGATAGTATTTGTATCCATCTTCAAAGTTTCTATGGAAGGAGCTGGTTTTTTCTTACGTCCGGTAGGGGCGCTGCTTAGTTTCCATGGAAACTTTGACGATGGCGATATGAATACGGATTTGTCAACGTTCGTAGTTTGAGTACAGTTCTTCCTTATCTCCAGGTATGTATGGAATGCCACCTACATCATCTCATATCTCTCATCATCATCAGCCTATTAATGTCCCCACTGCTGGAGCACAGACCTTCCCTATGGCTGGAATAGGGAGATTGGTCTATGACCTACTACGCGAGCCCAGTGCGGATTGATGGGTGCTAACGACTACAGGTGCAGCCGGGACCAACGGCTTAACTTACCTTCCGAAGAACGGAGGAGCTCTAGATAGTAAATTTTTGGTCAACCATCTAATGACCGACCACTGCGAAAGTTGCTTTACAAAGTAAAGTAAAGTTGTTTTATCAAACACCTGTCTAATACATTTTTCTGGTTTTTTTTCGATAATTAGCGTCAGATGAGATAGGCAGATCTCTCATCGGATGCTAATAATCGAGAGAGTTATAAATAGTTGGTAGGCAGAGTACATACTACACCAACTGGCTACCTCACTTTGCAGGCCTGAACCCCTCCAAGATCAAAAGATTCACAGATCCTAGCAATCTTACTGGATGTTTACGCTCTCAAATAAATTATCTTACTTTTCCACAATATTTATTCCGTAAGGTTACTTCCTTAAAACTGGATCTACAATTCGTACGGAAATTCTTATTCATATCTCGAATCGGAGCTCTCATCTGGAGAACCGACCTCCAGCTTACAGACAATGATAACATGTCGATGAATAAGATTCCAGGGCTCTTTGAGGTATTTTGAGTTTGAACCGGCAAGGTGGGGATGGCTGTGGTAGCATATGCCTGGAAACTGAAACTACTAACTACTATCTAATTTGTGACTTCACATACGTTAACATTAGGTGGAGCAAGGTATTTTGCTGCGGCTCGTATTAAAAAAATCGCATTATTTATCTTTTTTTTTTATCATACAAAAATAGAGACTTAGGTAATATGTTTTTTATTCATTCGTGTAATTTTTACTCAATTAATTGATACCATTTTTCTCTCAGCAACTACCTAATTGCTGAGAGAAAAATGTATTAGATTTAGAATCACGTATCTACCTTTGTGTCCTTACTCACGTTGTCCAGCTACAAAGCTTGACAAGTAACCAGATAGCGACTTCAAGGTTGTAAACTAGGGCGTAGGATTGCTCGCAAACGTATTACTCATAGGTGTTAGATATTTGCTGTTGTTTATCTGACAAGGCGAACATGAACTATCAATTTTCATAGGTGAGTATTCAGATCTTACTTTATTAAGGAATAAACATTAAAAGTCGAATTCAGTATTAGCTATTATATTCGTCTTGTGATTGTGAGTTTACATTTTGTTCTCGGATTTCTATTATATACTACCTGACCCAGCGAATTTCGTACCGCCATAAAAAAAGGGGCAGGTGGTAGAAGAGAAAATTTAGGGTTGTATGTATTTTTATACCACATTATAAAAAAAAAACCAATAAAAATTTTAGGGATGTGTAACGTAGTGTTCTATCAATTTCCTGGAATAACATTTCTCCTAAACGCTTAAGGATATAAAAAATAGATAGTAGCCGATTCTCAGACCCACGGAATATACATATAAAATTTCATAAAAATCGTTCAGGTCGTTTCGGAGGAGTGTGGTAACTAACAATATATATATATATATATATATATATATACACATTAAAATAAACCCGCATTAAAATATGTGCAGTAGTTTTTGAGGTCATCATGAGAATACATACATACAGACATGAACATACAGATAGTTTTCATTATTTTGTAAGAAACAGGTATCATATATATTCATACAGGTCGTAGCTACTTAGCATATGGTTGATTAGTTGAGTAAAAGAACATAATAATATCTCAAAAAGGTATCACTATTTACGTAATAAGATTGATGTGAGATGATTTGATGTTTAAAAATACAGAATATAGTGGTTACAAAGCCGAGCACTACCAAAATCCCAGATTTCGTCTCTTGATGGGTTTTCGCAATATTTATCTGAACGATGCGCTGTATATTATATAGTTTAGTTTTAACTAAAACTTTTAAACCAAATTTGTGCTTTGTTAAAAGTAAGTTTTAATATAGGTAGGTATTACATTGATTATAACTCCTAATGTTCTATGAACTTTTATAAAGTTTTGAGTTCTGGAAGATAAATAATGTATGACAAACTTGCATTTTTGTGAAGTTAAGTATTATAATGGAGCTTGCATTTTAATAAAAATATAAAGTTGTTGTTATTAGTTCGGTTTTAAGTACGTTTTTTAAAGGTAAAGTAATAAAAACTTATATACTTGAAAACCGATTACAATTAGTTCAATCAACTTACGCTCTCAGTTGATATCGCGCTATCACTCAATGATATGCCGAAAACGCAGAAGCAACACAGAAGTGCACTTATTTTTCGAACCATTTTCGAATCACTACACTAAATCCTCTTTGACAAAAATTAACACCTTTTAAAAGCGATAGCTTTTTTTTCTGTGAGCCACGTGCGGCGAAAGGAGCGCGACTGATCGCGGCGGTTCGCTATTCGAACTCAGATTTGAATGTGTCGCCATTTTCGAAAGGCCCGCGTAGGAGGGTTTCGCGCCAACTTTAGCCGCTGCGATTCGTTTTACGCAAAGTTCGCAGCAGATTCAATATGATCAATTGCATAATAGATCACGATAACACGTTACTACACTACCTGTGCGTTTGACTCGTATGAGTTATAATAAAAAGTAAAGTAATAAATAATATTCTGCGATAATTTAGCGTATCTAATTAATTATTTTCTTACAAAAGAACACAGTTGTTAATTAAAACATTTATTCATAAAGGAAAATGGGCAAAACAATGTAATAAGTATAAATCGATAGATGTATGAAAAACTAGCCTTTTTTATTATACACGATAAAAAAATATCCCTGTAGTCAAAAGATGACACCGTAAAAATATCTTGGTAGTCATAAGACATATACGACAAAGCCTGCCGACCAGCGCTTGCACTTACTGAGCCACCAAAAAACGGTATACGGGGGTTGAAGGACTTGCAGTTGCAAATAGTCGAATCGTCTTACTTCTTTGAGATTGGAGTGTCACTTGATTGATTTTTACCTAACATGCTTTGGACATAGGAACCCGATTATCGGTTTTGTCAATGAGTATTGTTTTCTCCGAAGCGTTGACAATTTATTACGATTTGTGGTCACTCCGTTTTACATATAAAGTGGCATCCACACGATACAATTTTACGTCCAGTTTGATTAGATTGACAATCGAATTGTGTTGTGTGGACGGAAATATGAAATTGAAGGTCATTGGATGGTCGGTATCGCCCGATTCGGGATTGCCCAATCAAATTGGATGGTGTGGACGCTAACTGGCCAATTTTTTAACGTAGTCACTGTGCAAGTGGCGTTCAGAGCGGGTGTGTGCGTTGACTTGTCTTTTGAGAAGAAGATGGAGCAACATGACGACAATTTTATGTCTATTCGATCTGAACGGGAAGTAATGGAGGAGATTTTAGATATATGTAAAGACTTGCCATGCCTTTGGGATGTGTCTAACCCATTATATAAAAATAAACAAGCAAGGCATAATTCCTTAGAGATTTTGCGGAATAAGTGGAAAAATATTGATAAAAATATTACTGTTATAATTTTTATTATTTTTAAAGCATGTAACTGCTTGATGTTTAAATCTAAAGAAAATATAACTAGAAAAAATTCCACGCGGACCAGGCAGTTATTTGTTATTGAAAATAAAAAATCATTTAATTAAATTTATATTCTACTCAATGATATGCGCGCATGCTGGGGTAAAAAAGAAATAATATTATATATATATTTTTTACAATTTTTATTTTTTAAGCATGTAATTGCTTGATGTTTAAATCTAATGAAAATATGACTCGAAAAAAATCCACGCGGACCAGGTAGCAGACGGGACTCGAACCCGCACCCTTCGAAAACCCTTTAAAATATGAATCGGGCGATACCGACCATCCAATGACCTTCAATTTCATATTTCCGTCCACACAACACAATTCGATTGTCAATCTAATCAAACTTTGCTGAATTTTTTCTAGTATATTTTCTTTAAAAATATTACTCTTTAAGTATAACTATATAAGCCTAACCTAACCCTAAGCCTAACTATATAAGTTTATTAATTGAGTCACTTAAATATAATATAACTACATTTAAGTGCCTCAATTGCTTTCTTTTTAATAACCATTGTTTTGTCCACAGTCTTCTTTTTCTTTTTCATCTACATTTGTAGTTAGAGCCAAGTTTAATCCAATTTTTTGCTTCTTGGTAAGAGGCATCCTAATACAAACAAATCCGTTCGCAGAGGCAACAAATAAAACTGAAATTGGCGATCTTGTTGTGTATGTGTAGACGGACGACCAGATTGTACCCAATTCAATCGGCAATCAGATTGGCAATCAAATTGTGTCGTGTGGAAGGGGTATAAGATAATTTACTATAACGAACAGACTGTTTGAAAAAACACGAACCCATGCGTTTATTTGAGGATTTACACTGTAGGGTGGCAGAATAACATAAAGGGGCACCCTCGCACCTTGTGAAATACTCCCATAATACCTGAACCCTATTATGTACGTTCGAACTAACTAAATTAATTCTCTTGTTTCATTAATGTTCGTTCGTTATAGTAAGTACTATTACTTGTACCTATTTAACCTAAAATAACTAAAGACCCCGGGATGGAATTTGATGCGCTTCGGCACAGATGATCATGACTATAATGACCCTTCAAACAAATGTGGTTTAAGCCGTGGCGAACGTGGGTTCAACTAACGAGCAACTAGCTAAGCATCTAGCTCAGCAGCCAGCTACACAGCTAGCTAGGCAACTATCTAAGCAGCTAGGTAGGCAACTAGGTAAGCAGCTAGCTAGGCAACTAGCTCAGCAGCTGGCTAGGCAACTATCTAGGCCATACACAAATGTGTAAATAAAGGAAATAAATAAAAAATAAAGAAAGGACATTGTGGGGAAATTCCCAATGTCCTTTCTTTATTTTTTGCCAATTACTTAAATCATTGTTTGTTAACAATCTAAAATGTGTTTCTGTGGTCGAGGACGATTTTTATTGTGGTCGAGGACGATTGATTTTTACTCTGATTACTTTCTGTAATAACAATCGAATTATTTTCAGTAGTGACTACTGGTTGACAACAGGGAATTTTCTTATCACCTTGCTCTCCCTTCTAGGCCTAGCTAGTAGCTAAGCAGCTAGCTCAGCAGCCAGCTACACAGCTAGCTAGACAACTATCTAAGCAGCTAGCTAGGCAACTACCTAGGCAACTAGCTAGGCAACTAGCTAGGCAACTAGCTAAGCAACTAGCTAGGCAACTAGGTAAGCATCTAGCTAAGCAACTAGCTAGCTCAGCAGCCAGCTAAGCAGCTACCTAGGCAACTAGGTAAGCAGCTAGCTAAGCAACTATCTAGGCAACTAGCTAGCTAGGCAACTAACTAGGCAACTAGCTAAGCAGCTAGCTAGTCAGCTAGCTAAGCAACTAGCTAAGCAGCGAGCTAGGCAACCAGCTAGGCAACTAGCTAAGCAGCTAGCTAGGCAACCAGCTAGGCAACGAGCTAGGCAACCAGCTAGGCAACGAGCTAGGCAACCAGCTAGGCAACGAGCTAGGCAACTATCTAGAAAACTAGCTAGGCCACTATCTAGGCAACTAGCTAAGCAGCTAGCTAGGCAACTAGATAGGCAACTAGCTAAGCAGCTAGCTAGGCTACTAGCTAAGCAGCGAGCTAGGCAACCAGCTAGGCAACTAGCTAAGCAGCTAGCTAGGCAACTAGCTAGGCAACCAGCTAGGCAACGAGCTAGGCAACCAGCTAGGCAACGAGCTAGGCAACTAGCTAAGCAGCTAGCTAGGCAACTAGATAGGCAACTAGCTAAGCAGCTAGCTAGGCAACTAGATAGGCAACTAGCTAAGCAGCTAGCTAGGCTACTAGCTAAGCAACTAGCTAAGCAGCTAGCTAGGCAACTAGATAGGCAACTAGCTCAGCAGACAGCTAAGCAGCTAGCTAGGCAACTAGCTAAGCAGCAGGCTAGGCAACCAGATAAGCAGCTGGCTAGGCAGCTAGCTAAGCAGCTAGCTAGGCAACTTGCTAGGCAACTAGCTAAGAAGCTAGCTAGGCAACCAGCTAGGCAACGAGCTAGGCAACTATCTAGAAAACTAGCTAGGCAACTATCTAGGCAACTAGCTAAGCAGCTAGCTAGGCAACTACCAAGGCAACTAGCTAAGCAGCTAGCTAGGCAACTAGCTAAGCAGCTAGCTAGGCAACTAGCTAGGCAACTACCTAGCAAACTAGCCAGGCTTAGCAGCTAGCTAGGCAACTAGCTAAGTAGCAAGCTAGGCAACTAGCTAAGCAGCTAGCTAGGCAACTAGATAGGCAACTAGCTCAGCAGACAGCTAAGCAGCTAGCTAGGCAACTAGCTAAGCAGCAGGCTAGGCAACCAGCTAAGCAGCTGGCTAGGCAGCTAGCTAAGCAGCTAGCTAGGCAACTAGCTAAGCAGCTAGCTAGGCAATCAGCTAAGCACCTGGCTAGGCAACTAGCTAGGCAACTAGCTAAGCAGCTAGCTAGGCAACTAGCTAAGCAGCTAGCTAGGCAGCAAGCTAGGCAACTAGCAAAGCAGCTAGCTAGAAAACTAGCTAGGCAACTATCTAGGCAACTAGCTAAGCAGCTAGCTAGGCAACTACCAATGCAACTAGCTAAGCAGCTAGCTAGGCAACTAGCTAAGCAGCTAGCTAGGCAACTAGATAGGCAACTAGCTAAGTAGCAAGCTAGGCAACTAGCTAAGCAGCTAGCTAGGCAACTAGATAGGCAACTAGCTCAGCAGACAGCTAAGCAGCTAGCTAGGCAACTAGCTAAGCAGCAGGCTAGGCAACCAGCTAAGCCGCTGGCTAGGCAGCTAGCTAAGCAGCTAGCTAAGCAGCTAGCTAGGCAACTAGCTAAGAAACTAGCTAGGCAACCAGCTAGGCAACGAGCTAGGCAACTAGCTAAGCAGCTAGCTAGGCAACTAGCTAAGCAGCTAGCTAGGCAACTAGCTAAGCAGCTAGCTAGGCAACTAGCTAAGCAGCTAGCTAGGCAACCAGCTAAGCACCTGGCTAGGCAACTAGCTAGGCAACTATCTAGGCAACTAGCTAAGCAGCTAGCTAGGCAACTACCAAGGCAACTAGCTAAGCAGCTAGCTAGGCAACTAGCTAAGCAGCTAGCTAGGCAACTAGATAGGCAACTAGCTAGGCAACTACCTAGCAAACTAGCCAGGCTTAGCAGCTAGCTAGGCAACTAGCTAAGCAGCTAGCTAGGCAACTAGCTAAGCAGCTAGCTAGGCAACTAGATAGGCAACTAGCTCAGCAGACAGCTAAGCATCTAGCTAGGCAACTAGCTAAGCAGCAGGCTAGGCAACCAGCTAAGCAGCTGGCTAGGCAGCTAGCTAAGCAGCTAGCTAGGCAACTAGCTAAGAAGCTAGGCAACCAGCTAGGCAACGAGCTAGGCAACTAGCTAAGCAGCTAGCTAGGCAACTAGCTAAGCAGCTAGCTAGGCAACTAGCTAAGCAGCTAGCTAGGCAACTAGCT